GGCTGCAACGGGGGACGTGGCTGCTGTGAGGAGGGTTTGGCAGGGTCCCTGATTTGGGCAGCCGCATTGGCCATCTGCCGTGCATGCAGCGAGGGCAGGGTGCCACGCGTCGGAGGGCAGCACTGGGGCTGGAAATAGCTGCTTGCTCGCATTCGCCTCCGCGCCAAGCACCCAGCCCAGCTTCACATCTCTGCTTTCGGTGAGGGTCTTCACCTGCCCAGCTGCACTTCCCCATCTTCTCTGCATACGGGAAGCCCAAGGAATGCAAGAGGCTCCTCGGTGCCACCCGGTTTGAAGATGGTGCTGCGGTGTGCACTGCCGCCGGGGCAGCCCCGAGGCAATCTGAGGATAAGGTCCGGGAGTTCCCGCGCTGCGGAGGGCGGCCGGGCCAGGGAAGAGGCTGCTTGTTTGCTTTCTTTCATGCTCAGCTGTAGCCAAAGCACTGTTTTAATTTGAAATTTGGCAGGGATTTAGCCCTTTTGTAAACTAAAATCGTTCTGTGTTTCTGGAGGAGTGGGGAAGAGAGAAGTGAGGCGGATTTTCGGCTGGAAATAGAGCAACGGGGAATTTGGAGGGGGTGTTTCTGCCTGGTGCCTGTGCTGCTGCTTTGAGAAGCACTTCCCTGTTCACCGAGGGTGGGAGGTGTCACCCCCCCCCAGCCCCCAGAGCTCCCAGCTGGAGGAGCAGTGCTGCGCCGCCGCCGCCAAACGGAGTGGTGTCAAGGCGAGGCCACAGCGGCTGCTCTGCTATGTCAAAACAAAATGATGTGTGTTGGAGTCACGCTATTGCTACAGAGAGAAAAGGGCTGGGAATGAGCAAACGGAGAAAAGTGAGGATCAGAGCGGAGCTGGAGCTCTGCCTCTCTCTGCCAAGGCTGGGGAGCAGTAATTTCTGACCCCGTTTTCCTGGGCTTAGCTGGATTTAACGTTTCAGGCCCTCATGGGCGTTGTTTGGCAGCAGAGCAGCTGTGCACCTCTAACGCTCCCCTTGCCGGACAGGATAGCACTGGCTGAGATGGCTGTTGTGGCAGCAGGAGAGAGGGGTGAGCACTTGCTCTTTTGGGGGAAGTGAGCAGCACGCGGTTGTTTCCCTGCTGTTGAAAGGACCGGAGGGCAGTTGGCTACACCTCTTTTGTACCAGGAGGCACAGCCACAGATGTTACTGGAGAATGAAAGATGGTAGGTAGCAGAGCCCACAAGCCACCATCACCTGGTGCATCCCCTTCGGCCCCAGAGCCCGCAGACCCCTGCGGGAAGTGGGGAGCAGGAACACAGGGATGGCGGGAGCGCATCCCGGGCAGTCTCCAGGCCAGGCTCCACTGCGCCAGAGAGGCTGCAGGCAGGCAACAAAAAGGGCTGGAAATTGCTGCAAGTTTGATATATTGTTTGGGAAAAGCACCTCCTGCTGAGAGGCTCATTTTGTTCACCTAGAAAGAGCCCGAGAGGCGCCATGGCCACCATCTGCAAATGCCTGTGTGTAGAGAGATCCATGGTGATAGCCAGAGCTCTGCCCTGGGATGGAGGGACCCGGCAGGAGGCAGCACTCGGTGCCCAGACTTAAACCAGACAAAGTCAGTCTAGAAAGAAACAGCAATTTTTTTCTCAACGGTGGTCATTTGCCTTGGAGGAATGTGTCTAGGCTGCAGCAATCGGGACTGGGTGTCCTCTCCAAAGCAATAGCTCTTGGCTTGGTGCAAATGTCTCTGCGTGAGGTGGTGGGCACTGCTGGTAAGCCTGTGCAGGCAGGCTGGCATTGAGCGTGTGTGGTGGCAGGAAGTACATGCCAGTCCCTATGATGCTCTGACCTCAGCTTTGCAGACGTGAGCTGCCTTGGGCAGGTTTGGAGAGCTTTCCTGCAAGAGGCACGTGTATATCTGTGGTGGGACACCAGAGAACCTCGCCTGCTCTTGTGCTTATCAAGCACGTCACCCGCTTCCAGTAACCCCCACGCTATCCCAATCCCTCCTGCCCCTGCTACTATTTTAAAACAGATGTACATTAAAGCTCCTTAATCGCTGCAAATACTAATTCTCTCCTGCTCTCCCTCCATGTGAGTTCATACGACCATGGTACTTAAGTTGCTCCTTGTCTTTGATTAGAATCTCATCTTTCTTTTTTCAGGTCCCATAAATTAGCCTTTTAGCTGGCAGTGCTCTCAGATCCAACAGATAACAGCCTTTTCTTGGCATCCAGCCGTTTCCAACAGCATCGCTAACATCATCTTTTGGACATGACCGGCTAGGTGCTCACAGCCATCATTCAGGACACACGCTTTAAAAAGGGCCTTTCACTTAGGAGAAAGCGCTCGTCCTGTTTAAATACAGTTCCCCCTAACTTTCTTGTCTACCCTTCTCCAGTATATTTTTTTTCCTTTTAAAATGCAAAGTAAATTGTGCCTGAAAGCTGCTCTTTAAGGAAGCAGCTCTCCACAGCACAGGGCAATGCATGTTTCTCCCATTCTGCCCAGCAGCTTGGGAGCAGGGCTTTTCTGGGGACCACTTTCCAAGGGGGTCACTTTCCATGGCCTGCTCCACTTGTGACAATATTGCTCAGATTTGTCACAAAGGAGCCTAACTGATGACAAATAGCAGGCTAGTTTCTGTGACGGGAAACCATTTCCACTAGGAACTGAACTGAGACCACCAGCTCAATTCCCGCAGACAGCCACGCAGCCAGAGCTGATTTTGTTAATGACTCGAGAAACCACAGTATGGAAAAAGAAACGTCGAGTTGTATTTTTCCAAAGCCAACATAGAGCCCTGCGTGACAACATACAATCTGATAGCAATGAAATGGTGTGTGGGGAGCAGAAGAATAAGGACCTGAGGAGGAAGGAGAATGGGCGAGGAGGAAGATATCATTTAAGCAGGACTTGGAGTCATATTAGCATGGGGAACTGAGAAAATCGCTAGAAGAGTAAATAGATTTTGGGCTGGGCTTTTTGTATAAATGTTCTCTCTTTTCAAGTTTTCCCAGTGCTCCTTCCTTTCAGGCTGTAAGAGCTGGTGTTCTTTCAAAAGTGTTGATTAACCGGTACTTTGTTTTTTCTGGCTTTTCCCTCAAGGCTACCCTGGGAAATAAAAGAGCACCAAACTGCTAGCTTGTTCTCACACAAAATTTAGAGGAGCTACAATATGGAAAGGCAAAAGATTTCCAACAGCCTTTCCCTGCACATGGGCTCCTTGGGCAGACCGTGGTCCAATTTCCACCTTTGCTCGTCTTCGAGCAACCTACAGTTTCCGTAGGGTTGTGTGGGTGACATGGATGGCAAATTTCACTGCTTGTCTTCTGACGGAAGACTAGCAAAGCAGACGTCTCTGTGTGTGAACTGCTTTGCAAGTTATTTTTCCACATGTTCGGCTCTAAATGTTTGCAAGAGGCCCTCAGGCAGTTCTCCCAGCCCTAAGATGTTGCCATCTGGGCCTGTCGTTCTGGAAGTGTTGAGAAATCATGTGAACTCACTGGGATTTACAGAAGATGGTGTGCAGCTATGTTTCTTCAACAAGCTACCAGCAGCCTTGAGTCAGCTTAATTACCTGGCTCACTAGATGCAGAGCTCATCATTAGGAGGGGCAAGTGTTGGGTTTTGTGTGTTCCTGTTGCCAGGTTCGCTTGAAAATTCCAAGAAATCCCTTAATCCTTTGAGTGTGGAGGGCAAAAGACAATTCTGCCCAAAGAATGGGTATTTGGGAAGGTATCATCAGTACCAGCACGGAGGATCACTGCAGTCAGGTGTGAGGTGGTGTTGGGGCGGCGTGGCATTCAGCAGAGCCACCTGCTCTGGAAATGAACCTCAAAACATTACTGGTGGGGATTGCCTGATACCTGGGATATTGCCTGGGATAGCAAAAAAAATAGATTTGACAATTCAGGAGGCCTTTTCCAGTCCTAAATCTCTGTGTAAATATGCACAAGTATTCTTTTATAAGGTTTTGAATAATTTCTTTGCATGTGGCTTTTTAGGCACAAGTTACATTCTTTGGCTTTGGTTGGTTTTAAGTACTCTCTTAAAACTTCTTGCCGTTCTTGCGCAAGATGTGAGGTAACCTTGGTTTTCAACCAAAACTATTTCAAAGGTGTGACTTCTACTGCTTTCTAGTAGTCCCTGATTTTCTGCATTCCCGATCATTTTGAGGTGCCTTCTCAGTTGAGCACCCCAAGTTACAGTCAGCTTTGAAAAATCTAAGCAGATCAAAATGAAAGGGCATTTTCTTTTGGAAAAACTGAAAACACGGTAACTATACGTAGAGATAATGCTAGGAAGACTGCACAGGAAAATAACTTTCTTCTGCTCAGATTACAGCATGTGCATTTGGTTACTAGTGCTTGATCTGTGCTGAACAATAAAAAGAAATGTCACCACTAAAAGGAATTTGGATCAGAGAAATGTTAACATAAATACCTAGATACGGACACCCATTTGCTGCTCTCCCCATTTCAACCAGCTTTTACATTAAAACATATAATGATGATACATGACTTCCTCAAATTACTATGAATTTATCTGAAACCCAAAGAGAAACTGGGTCATTGAAGCTCTGTGTCCAGTAAGATGTATGGGAAAAGATGAAAAGTAGAGTGTGCTAAATGGATCTAGCATTAGTGGCAAGTAATGATAGGCACTAAGATCCTATTCAAAGTTGTAAGGATAATACCCATGAGCATGTTAATAGTGAATTATGGCCATTATGCAGGCACCAATGACAATATTTTAGTGCTATTCAAGTTATCTGGTTTCTTTGCTTTTCGCTCATTCTCTTTTCTTCTTAAAAGCTGGTCATTTGGGGGTCATGAAATGTGATGTAGTGGGCAGATCCTATTCTCTCGAGTGTGCAAGAGTCTTCATTGACTTTGGCCAAAGGAAGAAGAGGAAGAGTTCTTCCTCCTTCCATGAGGAAGAGCCTTGCAGTAGTTCAACTATTGCTTTCTTCTGGCCGGTCTCTCAATCCAGTGACCAAAGGCCTCTTTAAACAAACAGTGCTTCCCATTTTGTTGTTCTAGTGAACTTCCCAAGAATGGAGGATGACTTTCCGATCTCTGAGCAAGACTTTGAAGACAACGATGATCCAGGTTGGTACCCAAATGCCACATGGGCAGTTTTTCTGGGGGAGCTTGTGTTTCAGTATCAGATGCTACAATTACTCACAAACCTCAGCTTTAAGTGTGTTCTACGAGCTAGAACACACTTGAGAACGTACATGGGGGGGTTACGAGCTAGAACACACTTGAGAACGTACACTCAAGTGGTGGCTCAGTGCCTGGACAAAGACATTAGTTTTCTTTTCTTGTTCTCCTTTTTCAACAGCAAGCAACCTTGCAAAGTCGATATATTGTATTTGTGTTAGGACAAGTGGAACTGATCTTTCAAGCATTAATTGCTGCTTGCGTGGCATTTTGACTTGTAAATGGAGAAAATTAAGTCTGGGAGCTGTGACAGATTGTTTCCATAGTTTTGAACCCAATGGCACTTGAAGGGCCAAAGTTTCAGTGGGTGTAAAATGCTAGCATGCTATTTACATAGCCTGTAAAAGTGAATTAGGGCACCTAACTTTCTTGGTAGTTTGGTGCTTTGCATTACTTCTAGACCTGGGTTAGAGAATACTGCTGAGATATACCTATGGGGGAGCTTATACTCTTATAAGGCCATCACAACTCCAAGTAAGAAATGCATAAAGGTGTCGGGGGGGAAGTGATCCCTGGATAATAAGTGCCCATTCCACTGCAGATTACTTTGGATCGGATAGGAACGACACACTGTTCTCTACTAACTCTCCAGGAACCCCAAAGCTGGACAAAGAAAAAAGCTGGCTCTACACCCTGGATCCCATCCTGGTGACCATCATAGCGATGAGCTCCCTTGGCGTCCTCCTCGGGGCCATCTGTGCCGGTCTGCTCCTCTACTGCACATGCTCGTATGCCGGGCTGTCCTCACGGAGCTCCACCACGCTGGAGAACTACAACTTCGAGCTGTATGATGGCATCAAGCACAAGGTCAAGATGAACCACCAGAAGTGCTGCTCAGAGGCCTGATGGGTGCCCTGGGGATCACCCTCGGTGTTGGCACCCAGTGAGGTGGGCTGGCAGGGGCTTACATTTTTTGCTGTTTTCTATTGGAAATGAATGCCATAACGGGGAACGAGGGGCACAGGAGGAGCGAGGGGAGGCGCTGCTCCTGCTGCCAGCTCCCACCGTCCGGTCACGCTCCACCAGGACTGAGCAGGCGTTCCCGCAAACCGGACTGTGCCAGGCGAGGGGGGACCGAGACCCTTGATTGTTGGTTCATCTTCATTTTCTGCTGATGCGAGTGGCTGGGACGTGGCGAGGGAGACTGGTTTGCCTTTTGGATGTGAGAAACTGAATGTTGATCGTTATTTCCCACCTCCTTTCTCTGGTGAGTTGCTGAGAAGGCTGAGGGATTTCTTCAGCCACCCTGTCTTTAGAAATAACACACACACACACACACACACAGAGACCCTGTCAATTTTAGACCCTGTCCAGATACCTTTTTGGCTGTAGGGATTTGTGCACTTCACACTAAGTCCAGGAAGCTGCAGTGGAAGGATGTTGTTACCTTCAACTTTCCTTCTCCTGGTAGGGAGGAAAGGTGGGATACTGGCTCTGGTGTCGATGGTAACAACAGTGCTTTCTGAAGTCGTTAAGAAATAAACTAGAAAGGAAACCCTGTGTGTAGAAGCACCTCTTTGAGAGAAGCTGAAGAGCCTTAAAGTGATTTGTGAATAAGAGCCATTTATTAAATCCAGATCTTGGATTGCAACAGCTGAGGCCTTCATCAGGAAGGCCTTTCTTTGAATCTCCCACCCCACTTGATCCTGCCCTTTTTCTTTTTTTTCTTTTTTTTGCTATAATGAGAAAATCGCAGCAAACAAAAGATAGAGCCTGCCAGGCTCCCGGTGCTCAGGCGACGGCTTTGGGAAGGGGGCTTCACTCGGGGTTTGACTTGAGGCACAGCGCTGAGGCCTCTCCAAAGTGCCAGGGAGGGAAAATGAACAGGGAAGGAGGCTGGAGCCATGCCCACAGCCCCGGGAGCCCGGCCGTGGCGCCCACTGGTCCCCCTCGCCTTTGCGGTGCTCCCCCTCTCCCTGGAGCTGGGGGGTGCGAGCTGGCACTGTCAGCACCGATGGACCAAACGGCTGCTGTCGTATCCCCTTTGGAGCAAAGCTGTGCTGCTCCTGACCAGCAGCAAAAACCCGAAGTTTTATTTATGAGCTGTGTTTTGTTTTACTTTGAACAAGTGCCTTAGAAGAAGTATTTTTCCTCCATCTGATGATCAGTGCTGTATCAAACAAGAAGTGAGGCCTTCATCCTTCCCCAGCAAAACACTCTTCTTCACCACTCTCTACCAGGTAGAGCCCGGCTGAAGAAGTCTGGTCCTTCTACTCTCAAGTGGTCTGGCTACATTGTCTGGCAGCTGATAGCTCTCCACTTACCACTGTGCCGTGGGAGAGGAGTGTTATGAAAACAATTTAATGGGGAAAAAGAGTTCAAATGCTGGGCCCCAAACCAATGCCTTCATTTCCAACTCGGTGCAGACGGATCGCCCCTGTCAGCTTGCACATATATAAGTGAGAAACCTTTCCAGCACGTTGTGTTTGCTTTTCCAGGGGCTCTTTGGAAATACCTGACATGTCCTGATTTTACATTTTGCCTAGCAAATAGTTTGGGTTGGGGATGGATTTTTTTTCCTCACCAACCGCAGAGCACCGAAGGTGTGATGTGCTGTGAAGCTCAGTTTGCACAGCCCCTGCAAACACTTCCTGCAGGAGGCCAGGTGTTCAGGGAGACGAGCAACAGCTGGAGAGGAGATGAGCACGGACAGTGCCACAGCTGCTCCTCGGTGCGGTGGGAATAGGAACATTTGTCTAGTGTTTCATGAAAAGCTCCACCAGACAGTAAGTTTTTAGGAAAAGAAAGAGACTTCTCCACTGTAAGAAAGACACGTGTTACTGGGGAAGCAGCAGCTGTGTCATCAAAACATCCACAGTTCATACACGCACACTCAGAGACGCGCACACACAAAGGCCTTCATTTTTTTAATTCACACTGTGCACCCAACAGAAATGGCAGTAAATGTATCTCAGATTCTCCTTTCGAATCACCTTATTTCTTTTGGCATTCTTCGTGGACAAATTCCCCAGGGGTGTTATTTTACTGTACAAAAGAAACAGAGGCAGTAAGAGGAAATGTACCAGACCATTTCAAAGCTGGATTGCTGCTGCTCAATGATTTTATCCCCTTCAAATCACAGGTGAGGGGAAGGATGAAAGGAAAAGGACCATACAGTAGAAAAGTCGACTTAGGCAAACAATAGGTGAAAATATATAATTAAAAAGGTGATGTTATGGTGTCTAGTAGGCGTACAGAGAGAGGAGTTCGTATATACATATATTCAGAAATAGTGTGTTTGCACACGCACGTGAATTCTCTGTATGTATCGTGTATGTGACTTATTCCGTGGGACTGACTCGTGTTAATATATCTCTTGATCTGGGGCAGGAGAGTACTGCTGATCTTGGCACTAACTTGGCATGGGCCCAGCAAAGCGTCCGCCCTGCGTGTCCCACTTGCCCCTTCCAGACGGGGCAGGGCCCACGCGCGTGTGCTTGCCGGGCGGGAGCAGGCCAATAATGCTGCAAAGCCGATACCTCACTTACCTCTGCTGGGTGCTTTACTGTTCTACAGAAAACTGTGTTTGATTGTAACTTCAACAGGGAAAAAAAAAAAGTCATCCGTGCATTCAATTCATTGCATCCTCCTCTGCAAATAGATTAGGTTTGCTGATCGCAATTCCCTCTGTGAAATTCAGAAAAGAAAAAAAAAAAAGAAATTGGTATTAATGCCATTGCTGAAATGGGCTGTTGCCTCCACAGCCTTCCCATGGCAAGGAAATGTTGCAACCGGGCAGGCTGTAGTGCTGCGTGATTTCATTTTGTGTGAAGGTGCCAGGGGTGAGCATGGGAATTAAACCATTAAGAAATTATATGCAGAAATGGAACTTCTCCAAGGTTTGCAGTTCAAGGTATTTGACTGTTCACTGGCTGAGCCAGGACTTATGGACTTAAAGAGCTTTTACTGTGATTCTTCGGTGTAAAAAAAAAACAAACAAAAAATCAACAAAAAAAAATCAAACTGTGTTTATATGATTTGTATAAAAACCTTTTAAAATTACTATTTAATAAACATTATGGTAGAGATCATGTTGCAGTGACTTTTTTATTTATGATGGAACAACAAGAAGAAAACCGAACTGAGAGGGCTATGGGCAGCCAGAAACCCCCAGGAAAACCGAGGCACGGCTGGAGGCGCGTGGGGCCGTGCACACCGCCCTCCTTTCCTGCTCACTGCCCGTCCCCCTGGGGAGGTCACCTCGGGCTGCCTGTCACCCCGAGGTGACGCGGGGCTGTAATGCAGACCCTGCGCATGCACGTGGCCTCCCACTCGGACACAGCCTCTCCTCCAAAAGCCAGGGATGGCTGGAAGCGGCTCTGGCCCAAGAGCAGCACCTGAGCACAAAGCCAAAAGCGGTCCCTTCCTGCCACTCTGCGCCGCTGCCCAGCGCTGCCAGCGATCCCAGAGAGGAGTGTGGTTTTAGGCTAAGAAAAACATCATTTAGGACTAAGACGGCTCGGTGCTGAGCAGAAAGGTGCAGTCAAGGCTTTGCAGTGCAATCACGTAGCATGGTAATGGCCAGCTGGGGGGAATGAGGGTTGGGGGTGGGGACACTGTGGGGACACCCTGGCTGCATGAGGGGCTGGGGGTGACAGAGCGCGGCAGCACAGGCACCATGCAGGGAGCAACCTGCGCCCTCTCTGCCTCCTTCCAGCCAGCTTCGGGGTGCACAGGTGGCCAGACTGTCCCAGCTCAGCCACCTCGCCAGAGTACAGGTGCCAGCATGCCCCTGTCCTGGTCCCATGACCCTGTGATGGCGGGCAGTGACTGGACCAGGAACATCCTCTGTGGTTTGGCTTCAGCCCCATCCTTGGGTGTCACAAGAAGCATCGGGCAGCAGGGACTCGTGGCAAACCCCAAAGCCAAGCCTGCCCCCACACACTTGTCTTCTCCACCCTGTCCTGCCACCCTGCTCACCCTGACCCAGGGTGAGCCTCACATCTCGCAGAGGTGCCAGCACCCTGCTGCTCTCCACCACCGGCCGGCCAGGAGCCAGCGCAGAGCTGCAAGGAGCCAGCTGGAGAAGCAGTGGGGCGGAACCTACAGCATGGAAACTTGTTTATTTATGGGCACCCTGACAAACGAGGGAGCCAATCCATCAAGCCCTGGGCACCTCCAGAGCAAATGAAATTTTGCTGCTGCCTCCTTACCTCCAACGCGGTGGCCCCCTCCCAAAGCGCACGTGTGTTAAAGAGGGTCTTTAAGCGATGAAGGGCAGCTGGCAGCTTAGATGAAGATGACAGTGTAGCTGCAACCTTGACAGCTCTTCCCTCACCCAGGAATAAAGAACTGATGTGCAGATTGATACCTGGGGGAGAGGCTGTCAGCGAGCAGGACGGAGACGGCAGATAAGCGACTCAATCAGTGTCAGTCTTGTCCTGCCGTAACACCGCCTGTAAATCACTGCGGTTAAAGAGGTGCCTCTGCTAAAGCGAGGAGCAGAAAGCAGGTAATAGAAAAACAGGCAGCAAAACAGATGTGTGCACCGGCTGGGTTAAAAGCCTGATAGCTGGGCTGCAGCTGCCACCTGGGCACAAAGGGGAGGCAGGCACCCACTTCAGGACATTTAAATCCTTTGGGATTTTTAGCAGAAGCTGGGATTGCATTTGGGTGGGCTGCTCTGTGGTCGGCAGGGTGGGGTGGGACCCGGGGAGGGGGGGCCCTGTGTGCATTTGCCATGCACACATGGGTACCTGCCACCAGCGGAGGCTGGAGTGTGGGGGGGCTGCGGGGGCACTTCATGTGGCACAAGAGTAATCAGCGGCTGAGCGGGCTAATAAAATCGATTTCACCATTCTCAGCCTGCTCCAAGATGGGGATCCAGCCGCTCCAGCACGTCCTTGAGAGTTGATTGCAATCGTGCACGCACCCTCGCTGTCTCTCTCACCCCTTCTTCTTTGAAATATTCCTTTGCTTTTGGGTTAATGGGAAATCTTTTCAAATAATGACTTGCTCTCTGGACAGCTGGGGGCTTGGCAGTGAGGGGGAGCCATGGGGCTGAGCTAATGAGTGGATTCGTAATTAATTAATTGCAGGCAGGTGCAAGCAGAGTCTCCTGTCGCCTCTCTCTCCTCTGTCTCTCTCTGAAGAGCTCCTCTGTCTCCCGGAGCCTGGTGCTATCACCAGCCATCCAAGGGGATTTTGCAAAACCTGGTGCCGGCTTTACTGTGGACAGTGACATTGGCAAGCAGGACGGAGGCCGGTGCTCACATCCACTCCCTATGGGGACCATGGGGAGCCTGCCTGTTGCAGCACATTGCCTTTACATCTCTGTATCTGCCAGGCTCCCTATGCTTAGACCATGACGACTGGCACCCATAAAGACACCTTCTCTCCACCAGGCAGCTTCCCACTGCCCCTCCCTGGGGAAGTTTGATTGCACTCTTTACAGTAGCTACACTGACATAGTTCACACCTCCCAACTTTACACCCCAGATGGGCCAAACCCACCCGAATGTGAGAGGCGATGATGAACCCCCAAGCCCTGACTCCTGGTGAGCTGAGCACTGGGGGCCCTACTGCAGCCGGTGCCACCACTGCTGTGCCCACGCCGTGTCCTCTCAGCCTTACTTTGGCTGCTCCGGTGGGTGCTCAGCAGAGCCCTGTGGCTATAAATATGGAGAGGACCCCGAGTTTTGGTCCGTACACATTCATAGCAAAATTTGCATTGAATTCAATAGGTCCATATTGTCACTCGCACTGATCAGGTAGGATTAGGCTTTCCTATCAATGCCTGTTACACACAACGACCCATTTAAGGCAACAAATTCACCATGACTAAAGCAGTTTAATAGGAAAATAACTAATCCTTAATGTGTTGACAGGGAATGACTCCTCTCTAGGCTCCTGCATCATAACTCAGTTGCACCACTAATATCTGAAATGGAAAGCACTGAATTAAACACTCAGCAGCTCTACCCCCGCCTTGGCCCAGGTGCCAATCAAGGGAAGAAATACAGCCCTGCTTCCTTGTGCTGCTGTGGAGCGTGGAGGGCTGCGGGATGAGCCAGCATGGGCTGGTGGCTCAGGACTGTTTGCTGCAAAAGGCTTTGCTAACATTTCCTTGGTTAAATGTTTACAAACCCGGAGGAAATAGCTGTCCCAGATGTTGCTGATAATTTCCTATCAGGTCCCTCCTGGCATGGTGCACGGCTGCTTTGTCACCCTTCGGATCAGCTGCCAATCTCATGCTTAATAATGGAGTTGACTGACTTCTTCACAAATGCCATCAAAACTTCTAGTACTATTTTTGCCCCCCTGGTCTCTTGAGTTTATACAGAGAGTAACTCTGCCCTGGCCTCAAGCCCAGCCTGCTTTGCAGCCCTCGAAGCACACTCCCAAGCAGAGTGGCCTTCAGCAGAGGCACAGGGCAGCTCTTCTCTCACCCCACCACCTTGCCAATGGGCTGTGTTGGACAACAGAGGCAGCCTTGGGCTGTGCTGTCCCTTGGGAGGCGCTTCCCAGACGTGTCCTGCTCTGCCACACCAGCAAAGGCGAGGAGCTTCTTCAGCAGCCTCCAGGGACAGCCATTGCCAAATGAATGTCAACCTCATATTTTAAGAAGACATTCAATGTGCTTACCAGAGCTGGGGAGCCCTTTACACCGCAGCAATAATCCAGCGCTCGGCCATGAAATCCTCAGCACAGTGTCACATCCATCCCTTTCAGTAGAGAAGTTTTATTAACTTAGGGTGTGAAAAGTTTTGGAGAGCAAAAAGTCTCTCTCCCTCCAAGAGAAATAAGGATGATTTAAGCAGTCTGGGTGCATTTGAGATGGAGAGCAAGTCCCCCAGCTGACACATCAGAGGGAAAAACTGTAAGCCAAGGCTGCATTTATTAAAGAAGGAAACTGGGGCTCCGTAAAGCCAACCTTTTTAAGCACTCCACGAGAGCATTTTAATAAAAAGCACAACAAGCCCACAACAAATCACAGCTTGGAAGCAAAAAAAAAGTCAATTCCTGTCAAGTTTTGAAGAATCATCTGAGCTTAAGGAAAAGCAAATTCCTGCTATGCTCCCCTCCCCTGCCCTCCGCTCCCATGCATGGAGCAAAGCCACCCCAAACGCTGCCTGCGACACGCTGCAAATCACGCCGGGGAGTGGGGAGGGGGCGGGCAGCTGCCGACCCAGCCGCAGGAAGGCCCACAGAAGGATTGAAGCTTAAGGAAAATGAAATTTATAGTCGGAGCATTAAAATATTAAAGGGCCTTAAAGAACAGCCATGAATCTGACGGGGGGGGGGGGGGGGGAAAG